GCGGCGGCGGCGGCGCGTTGTCTCGCGGCTCGCGCTAATGTCCGGTGCTGACGGGGCCGTTCGCCGGCTCAGTTTGGCTGCCCGTACCCGGTCTGGTGGGGCCGATCGGGCGCAATTGGCCGCCATCATCCCGCCGAGCGGCGCCGATCGGCCGGAACGTCGGCAGATGGAGGCGGCCGGCCGGCGCGCACTGCACTCGCCTCCCATTGTGGACTGGTGACGCAGCCAGACGCCGACACCGCCGCCCCTGCGCCGGCGCCGCGGCCGCTGACGGGCGCGGAATGCACCGCCGCCCCGCCGCAGCTCCCCCGCCGCCGCCGCCGACACTCCGCCGTCACTGGTGGAGACCACTCTGTCGTCATCGGAGCGATTCCGGTGGACAGTTCTGCTCATGGATGGTGGATGACATGGGAGATGGCTCAGAGATTCGTGTTTTTGTGAAGTGGTTAGCTAGCTCGTGACTGATAAAGCTTTCAGCCACTCCTAATTTAGTGAATTGAGTCTTAGGCTGGAGACTTCCAGTTTGCGGTTAACTCGCGTTTATTTTGGTGGCTAACTTCCTTACACGCTTAAACTGCTTCGCCGTGGCTCTAAAACTGCAAGTTTATGTTTGTGTAACTCAAGCGTGTTATCTGTCAGCAGAATTACATTATGTGCAGTTGTACTTCTTCACGCTGACACAAAATTGTGGTGGTCGACATAAAAGGGAGATGAAGTTTTAGCTCAGAGTAGTGGGTACACAACCTGTCGGGCTCGCTAGGTTCACTTTTCTCAGTAGTGCGAAGTGCAGCCATAGTGCACTTTGATCAAGAAACTGGTTTGCTGGAGGATATCCGGGGCTTTGCTTGCTGAAGCCAGTGTTTGCACAACGTAACAATAACTTTGAACACAGCTCTGAGACATAAGCGGTGGACAACTCGATTCGAGGCAATCATACTTTCAAGGGTAGCGTGCCTTAGCCGATTAAACTCATGTTTATTCAAACTTGTGAGCTATCCTCGACGTTTAGACTGACGGACCACATGAACCAGCCGGCTTTGAAGTCCGCTATGGCCTGCAGGTCGAAGAAACATTGAACTGAGCTTAGGACTGCCAGGTGTTGTATGATTGAACACTGACATGACTGGCACTCCTTTGGAAAACATACCGTTATTGCTCAAGAGCAGCGCCATTATTTCGAGGATCATTTTGTTGACTCCATGACCACATTGATATTCTGTCTCTGAATGCCTGGACTGAGCTGAGCTCTAAAATCAACTCGCTCTAATTAACATAGCTGTGCCCGTTTACAAGCAGGATCAGGCGTGCCGACCACCAACCGCGCCGCTTTCACGTCACTTTCGAAAGATTTCTCTCCCACGGGTCCGCTGTTTTCCGCATTACAATATTTACAGCCCTGGGGCTCCGTTCTTCGGCTATTCGGCCCTCAAAGAGACCACTTTGCTATTTGCAATTGCATCTTGTTTTTGCCGTGGCATGCCGCCGCGGAGTGCATTGCTCAGTTGCCGGCAGAGTGTCAGTAACAGTAGCACCAGTTGCGGCAACAACGGCCGACCGTGTTGTAACGGTAGCGAGCCGTGCCGTAATTAGTCGTAACAATCCATAACGGCGACGACGTACAACAGTTTGCGACACCGCTGTTGGCCGCGAGGTGTGAAAATCGCGCGGCAGGGTGCAGCGTGGACGGGTCGGTTGGTGGGAGCGCTCCCGGCTCACGGGGAGGAACCCACGCCACGGGCGGGTGATGACTGATGGAGGTTTGGAATCGGCGCTTCCCGACATATTGACGATGAGTTAAGCTTGATCGACGCTGAGTAGCACATCGGGAGAAAGGGAGCGTTGATGGATCCATGGAGAAATGCTTAAAATAATGAAGAGCTGTCAGATGCTGTTCATAAAGTTTATTTTGTATAGGAAAAGCGTGGAAGTATTTCGGAATGTGTCGCTATAAAGGTGACATAAATTCATTAACTTTGCATGACATGGTATTTACAGCATCAGCTGCAGCAATGATTTTTTTTTTCAAGATATCGAGCAAAGAAGGCAAATACGGAATTGTGTTTCTAGCGACTCTGTCTAACGTCATCTTAGCTCGCGGAAGTAAGCTGCTACTTCTCCCGTAAAAGACATTCGAAATGCTGCGATGTTCTTCGAAAATGACTGCATGTGGTAACTGCAGGAAACAGCCGATTGTTGCAGAAGCTGAAAATAGATGGTCGTGCATCTACATCAATGTAGGAGGTCGAACACACTTGCAAGGCATCCCTAAGCCGCTCATAACCGTCAGGAATGGTAGCTGACATTTCATCATTCTGCTGTGCTTCGGACGCTCAACATGCCTGTGGTGATAAATAGGGACTCTTTAGCTATTAGAGGATAGCTAAAAATGTTTATTTTTGGACATCTTTTTATTTATTTATTTATTTACTTCGTAGTGGCCGTCCCCTATCTATGACCGAAGTCAAAGAGGCTATTCTTGGCACTGAGTCAATAAAAGATGGTGATGAAGTGGGTAAAAGAACATCATGCTATGACATAAAAAATGCTTAAAAATCACGATAAAAGCGCACAACACAATGCACATACATATACATACATATCACACTTCGTCCGCACCAGACGTCAGTCGACGTTTCAGCTGGTTTCTAAACTCGGTGACGGTCAGATCAGTAAAGGCGGCGGGGAGAGCATTGTACAGCTCTGCGGCACGGTATGTAAACTGCCGCTTTCCCGCCGCCGTGCCGCGTATGTCAGGGAGACTCAGCAGGTTGTCACTGCGAGTGCTGCGCACATGGTTGGGCCGTTCGCGGTTCGTGAAGAACCGAGCAGCCAGAGACTCGGGCTGCCCAGTCTGACGGACCTTATGAAGCAGTGTGAGGGTGTGATGGACGACCAGGTCTTGGGAACACAGCCAGCCCAGGTCTTCTCGCACGGCGGATATGTGGTCAAATTTACGCTTTCCAGAAATGATGCGGGCTGCATAGTTGAAAATTTTTTGAATGGTTGCCATGTTTCTGCCAGAACCGTTGCCGTACACTGCCAAACCATAGCGGATGTGCGAGAAGACTAGGGCTGAGACGATGATAGGAAGGGATCCGGGGGGTAGGTAGTGACGTAGGTGAGAGATGGCGGTCAGGATCCCTACGCACTTCCGAGACAGCTGTGATACGTGCGAATCCCACGAAAGATGACGGTCGAAAGTGATACCAAGATTTTTCGCCTCGTAGCCGGGAAGGAGAGCTGTACTCCGAAATTTTACAGAGAAGGGGGGAAGGTTTCGTAGATTTTGCCGAGTGCCGATAGGGAGGAGCTCAAATTTCGCCTCGTTGACTTTCAGTCCATTGGACCGAAAGTACGCGTCCAGGGATTGAAGGGCCGCCTCCATGTCACCGATCAAGGCTGGAAAGGCGTTTTTTCTGCCAGAGACGAGAACCTGCGTGTCGTCGGCGTACTGCGTGACGCAGGCGCCGGCGGCATGCAGGCTGAGGTCGTTCGAAAAAACCGTGAAGAGAAGAGGGCCGAGAGAGGAACCTTGGAACACGCCTTTGGTAATTGGACGAGACTGGGAGATAAGTGTTGGAGAAAGGCTGACGCTCTGTGTATGGCCGGACAGGTAGCTGGAGAACCAGGAGGTGTCGATGCAGTAAAGCTGCAGCTTGGATAGTAATTTGGAATGATCGATGACATCGAAGCAGCGACTCAAATCGATGAGGCAGAGAAGCGAGATTTGACTTTGATCCATTGCGTGAAGCGCGCGGTCGGTGACGTTAATGAGGGCTGTCTCGGTAGAGTGTTGGGGCCTGAATCCGTGTTGGGATTGGGAGAGGAGATGGTTGGATGCGAGGTAGTCGTACAGCTGGAGCTGCACCACCTTCTCCACTACCTTCGCGATGACAGGAAGGATCGATATAGGACGGAAGTTTGAAGGATCGTCGGTGTTCCCGGACTTGTGAATTGGATGTACCAGGGCGTGCTTCCAGGATGACGGTACCTCGTTAAGAATGATGCTGGAGTTAATGATGTGCAATAAAACAGGACCGATGATGCTAAAAGAGAGCTTAAAAGTACGAATACAAAGACTATCAGTGCCACTAGCGGAAGAGTTGCGCATACTAAAAATGACTAGCTGTAAATGACTAAGCGTGATGGGCTGAAGGGTGAAAGCGCAGGCGCCCACCCGCGGCAGCCGCACCGGCACCTCACGGGCTGGACCCAGTGCAGCCACCTCCGCGGCTACCCGCGGGCCGACGCCGACAAAATAATCGTTAATGGCGTCAGGGGTGACAGCTGGAAGCACACCCCGGTTTGGTCGCCCATCGGTAATGAGGTGACGCATGTGTCGCCAGAGGGAGCTGGGGCCGTCGCTGCGAATCCTATCGGATATGTGCTGCCGGTTGTCCGCACGTATAGCAGAGCGCACCTCACGGTTGAGCTGGCGGTACTCAGCTGAGGCGTGCCCACCGGCCCGCAGCGCTGCCCCTCTCCGTATAATCAGGTCACGAGTCTGGTCAGATACAGGTGGAGCCACCGGGTTTCTGAGCCGAACATCTCTAAAAGGGGCGTGTCGGTCGATGACGAGGCGGAGCCGATCAATCGAAAACTGATTGGCTAATATCCCGATACCAAACAATGTTTGCGTGCTACATTGATTTGAATCGGCATGCAAACTTATGGTCAACTTAAGCCAGTAAATTGTTTGACATATAACCTATCAATCTATTTTTACTTTTGTAAAAGTGTTGAAGGAAATAAGCTTGATTGATGATTGAATCTTGAACTTTTTCAGACTGATTCTCAAACTAAGCCGATTTATTAGTTCCTTTAATGCGATAAAGAAATGGCATAACCAGAGTGAAGAACAAAAGCGAGAGAGGTGCAGCACTTGAAATGATAAACAATGGATTGGACTCGGAGTCCGAGTGATGTCCGAGTCGAAGCAGGAGTGGAAACCGGGGTCGAAGTTGGGTTCGGAGTCGGCGTGATCGGTACTCACTACTCACCATCTGCCACCAGTTTTTCTCTGATCTCCCACGCGAAGATGGTGGGGTTTTCTCGCTTGTACTGTTCGATCTTGTTGACCACCTGTGGGGTGGCCACCTTGGGCTTGCTGCCCCCGATGACGCCTGGGGGTCTCAGAGAGCCGCCTGAAAAGGAGAGGGGGCGTTAGAAATGCAGGGAGATACCGATAGGGATATCTGCTGGGCTGGAGAGGATGAAGGAAGGCAATAAAAGAGATAGGCAGTCAGATACAGATGCTTGCTGTACCGCATTGAAAACATCGAGTTGATGCAATGACGTTCAGCCTGGCGAAACGGCTCGATCCAACGCCCTCTCAAGACTCTCCTTAATTAGTGCAAGGCTGCTACCAGGATGCAAGGATGTATTTTTAGACATCGATTAGACGCTACCTACCGCGAAACTTCTGGAGCTCAAAGCGCGGTGAACCACGTTGGTGAAGGACAACTCGTCACAAGCTACCCTAGACAAGCGTCAGTGTCACAAAGTGAGCTATCTCGCCGTGTTAGGTGGAGACGAGATGACAACCCATCAGTCAGAAAGGCACCAGAGCGACTTATCCCGAGACAATCAGCATGTAGGCATTCCTGTTTGAAAAGGAACTGTGACAATCAGCACCTGCTACCAGATCAACATTGCACCGGTGCAGGTGGGCAGTAGCCGTGGGTGCCGAGTCTTGCAATGCAAAAAATCACAGCCAGGCTTTATTCAGGCTGCATATTAATTAGACGAAACAAGAGTGAAGGTTAATTCTTTTAAAAAGACTGAACTCAATGTTATTGTGAAATCTTAAATCATAACCCGGCAGTTGCTGGGGTATTTCGCCACCCACCGTTTGCTGGGGGGGGGGGGCGTTAAACGCCCCCAGGCGATAACTCGAGAACCAATAGGCGCAGCGAAACGCACGAGGCGGCAAACGAAAGAACGCGACGAGACGCTTCAGATGAGTACTTTAAAGTTGAATTTTGAGGTCACAGGTCGGGTCAAGGTCAGGTCAAACACCTGAAATCGGGCTTTCAGTAGCATGGACTTCAGGACTTCGCAATGGGCGCCTCTCGTCATAAACTCTGTCAAAACGGTGCACAATCCATCATATAAGGCCTACAAGAGTGTCAGCTCCATGTAGGGGTCATTCAAGCATAGGCCAGGGTCAAGGTCAGGTCAACCGGGTAGGCACATATCTCCGAAAATCAAAACTGATATTCGCAGCCTGTGACACATGTTTTATGGGTAATTTTGGGCGTAGAACACGATGGTGACATTCATTTAATCATATGTGTACGTGTTTGGCTCAAAAAGTTAAATTTAAGAAATGCATGTATCATGGTCGTGAAGTAGTCACGAGAAATTGCCGAGATTCAGTTCAAGATTTTGGAAAATGCGGAACGATAATCAATAATCGAAGATAGCCATTTGATTGTTCATGGTATTGGCAGTCTAATGGCGTTTACGGCATGTCTGTATGTCTATTCTGTGATTTTATATGATTTTTTAAACATATGCCGTTTTTGGTCTAAAACTCAGAAATCATGACGTCACTAAAACCTCGATATCTCAAAAATTTTCCGAACGATTTTTTTTGAAACTTTGTCACAATAAACTTGAATCAATTTCCTACAGGTACCCAAAATTTGGCGCGCCTGCGGCGCGCCGTTTTTACGCTATGGCCCGGCGAAAAAAGTGGGGGCGTTTAACGCCCCCCCCCCCCCAGCAACTCGCGGGTTAAATGGTCATAACTCATAAAACAGCTTACGTACACTAACTAGATCACTGCTCCGACTCATTCTTTGGACTCGCACTGTAAAAGACGCATATTCCGTATTGGATTGGAAAACGACGTTTAAATTCAAGATATCCCCTGGTGCACAACTTTGATCGACGTTTGTTCAATATCAACGACTATCAGCCTAAACGTAACGAAAACACTAAATTACATCGGCGCAACGCACGCGTACACAGTAATCACCATATTTTGACAGCGAAATCGTGCATCAACAACAAATCAGTCGGTCGCGACAGCGGAGCGCACAAATCAGCGCCGAAAATGTCCATTGGCCCGCTGTAGTAGCGGACATTTTCCTGCCCAACTGCAGTGGCACACGCGCTGATCTCGGGCGATTATCAGTACCAATAGAACGGCAGTGCGCCGGCCGTCAGCAGCACGAGACGCAAGACAAATGGTGCCTTACGCGCCGGGAAAATTCGCCACGGGTCGTACCCGGCCCTGTCCGGTCGCAGTGCGTTGAATCATTGAGCGCAGCGTGGTGTGGAGACGGTGTCGCCGATGCCGACGGGGCTGGGGCGATCCACGAAGCGCGCTGCGACGCAGCTGTACCGGGTTATGCTGCCGTGACGGAAGTAATTGAGCCCACAAGCAACTCTTCAGCTAATTCATTAACACTGCATGTAGTGCACGGAACCCAGGCTTCGCTCGATTACATAACGCCGACTTTGTGACCGGAGTGCAGTTTGGGGTTACAGTAAGGAGGATGAGTCGTGTCGAAGGCTGTCTGCCAGTTCATTGTATGAGTTTCCGTTTATGTACGGTGTTTATTTACTTTTACTTACTCTCCATGCCTAAACTTTTGGTTGTGTGAGATACTGTGTGCTGTGGTAGACTTTCCCAAACTTGAAAATATTATTTCGATTTAACTTGTTATCTTTTGACCTAACTGTTTTTAGTGCTTTTTACTCCGCTAATCGACGCGGAGCATCAATTTTTAAACATACCTACATCAAACAGCATGACCAATACCCGGACATTGGATTGAAAAGGCAGCACCGTTTCGTTCTCTCGCCAGGTGCCGTACCCATTAAAGGCTGCCAATGCCTGTTCACGTTAGCTCGTGGCTGATTGGACTCGTGGCCATTTCCCTCTGCAGAGTGTCACTTATCAGCGATGATTGCGAGCTTGCAGTGCCAATCGGAGGTTTGCTGCATCATCTCTTATGCGCCGCATCACCGGCCTCACCATGAGCAAATACGAGACTATCGGTGACCAAGGTAGTTTAGATGCACGGCCCTGCGCTGCCGAAGCGTTCCTTTGCAACCAAAGTTGACACCCTTGATTGCGAATAACTATTCAGCTATCGAATGCCACTTGGACTTGAGTGAGCCGCCTTTAGCCCTGGAGCTTTTGAATAAGGGTGCAGGTGACTGAGCACTCGCCCGTTCTGCACACACTGATGAAGCAAACTCTTCGCCATTGAAGTGTTTATGATGTATAGGCAAATGTGCCGATGATCGAGACAATCAACTGACCCACCTTTTTAGAAACAAAGTTGGTCGTTGTGGAGTTTGAAAGGCAAATTGGAACGGTAAAAGGCACCACTGGGTCTTGGATGGGTTAGAAGCATGGAATGTTATTTGGGTGAACATTAGGTTACTAGGTATCCCATTGGCGTTTCTAAAGACATCGACGTTGAAAATCAGTACAGCAACAATGACGCATTGGGGCATGACATCTCAGGGCAGATTATGATGTCTCCACAAGACGTTCAACGTATTGTTCTACTTACTGAGCAGCTTGGTGACGGCCGTCTGCTGGCTGATCATCTGCTGGGCGAGGTCGTACGGCCTCATCGTGTAGCGGTTCAGCTCAAGCAGCCGCGCAGGAGACATCTGAGACATCTGAGAGAGCTGAGACATCTGAGACAGGCCGTGCGAGCTGTACAGCTCCCGCAGCTGCGGCGGAATGGCGCCTGCAATGGAGCGGAGGCGCGGAGTTAGTCGCGGAGTTGTGCAGTCACCGAGTTATGGTAACAGATAACTCCGCTGCACACTCGCCATAGAGGTACACAGAAAACACACCCTCCGCCGAGTTAGGCATGCAATATCGCCGAGTTACCCTAGCTTAGTTACACTCTCGCCGAGTTACACACTTGCAGTGGAGTTACACTCGCCTAGTTACACCCTCGCCGAGTTACACACTTGCAGTGGAGTTACACTCGCCTAGTTACACCCTCGCCGAGTTACAAGCTGTCACTGCCGTCTCCTCACGGCACAGGTGTAGGCTGAGAGGCTTTTCGCATGCGAACTGCCCGTTAACCACCTGTGACCCATCTTTGACCCAGCAAACTGCACACTCGAAGGTGATCGAACTAATTTACAGAGGGGATTCTGGGGTCTTAACATTAGGCTGAATCACGTTACAAGTTTTTGTCTCAGCTTTTTCTGATGCTATAAACTTAGCAATTAGCATGCTTTTCAAGGTACTCGATATAAGATTACCAAACTACATGCTCCAATTTTGTTTCTTTTTTATATTGTCACCTTAACTTAAGCAGACTTGTTATCACTGTTCAGTAACTTTCCCTAAACGAGACACCTGAAAAAAACTAGTCCTTCCAAAGCGAAACTCACCCGAAACAACCATTTCAATATATTTCCAGTCATTTCCCGTTATCGTTCAAGATGGCGGCGGCGGTCGCTCAATGGCTACGCATTCCTGGTTGACGCGGGCGCCCCGGTAAGTCCGCGGTCGCTCCCCACACACTCATTCCTCCGCGGTGTGAATGACTCATTTCCCATGCCGAGCGTGGCTGACGACTGGCTTTGCCTTCCGTTAGCCGACAGCGTTACTTGTACAAACCTGAGAATGTCCTTAAAGGCTGTCTGGCTTAAACCAAAAATGACGCCGACAGTAATCGCATTTATGTAAAACCGATCATGCGTGCAGTTTAGCGGGCAATACACGCTATCGGGGCTTACTCGACTGAACTGTTCGACCAAATAACAGAGCTGATTGATCACGATAATCGCATTAATCGCCGTATCATATCATTCAGCCATTCGTCTAGGCTAGCCTGATCTTTCCGATGTTGTATTTTCAAAGTATGCTGTGTGCTTTGCGATAACGACATATCGCCTTATCTTTAACGATACTGAGAAGATTCAAATGCACTTTGTTTTATGGAAGGACTGGGTGGTGAATAAATTGAAAACCATCAAGATACACCGTAGAAACACAATTTATTTACCACAAATCGACACTGTTTGCACATCTACACAGCGACATACGGTCACGGCAGCACCAGGATTCACTGCTGCCTACTGCACAGTGCAATTGCACATGCATGGCAAAGCGACGCGCTGATTCCCGACTCCAAAAGCTGATTGGTGTGTTTTAGCAGATAACAACATTGTGCCCGGCTTATGATGGCTCTGTTACCATGCCAACCAGGCCGCTGTGCATAATTTGTGCTGACATAATTTGGGCGTGTATGCCATTGATGCGCTGCAGGTAAAATACGATGCAGCCGTAATGCGCGCAGTTGTCACCAGACATCGTTGCACTGAGCTGTATTCGGTCACATTTTGCACATGCATGTCATGCTATTTAACTCGACAGTTTCATAATTGTTGACTATAGCCTAAAGGAGTTATGCGACAGTTATTGAAAATTGATGATGCAAAAATATGAAAAATGTTAAAGGTATTCAAAAGGTTTATAGATAAGTATTTGCGTTATAAGAGGACGCTTAGAAATTACTGAGAATTATATTTTTATTTAAATATTGCTCTTCGGCTGACCAGCCTTTATTTGAAGTCATAATCGCATCGTATCAAAATCGCGTCGAGTCCCGCACCGAACCGAACCGATATGTCTGCCCAGCCGCAGCGAGAGCGCAGCAGCTCAAATTGGCCCCTGCAATTGCCAGACGACGAGCGGCTCGAACACGATTATCGACATAGTACACGGTGACAGCACCGCTCCTCTCTAAAAAGACTGTGCCCGCTCGGACCGATTTGGACAGGGAACGCTGTGTTCTGCGCGCCTGGGACGCGATGGCGACGCGTTAGAGGACGCCGGTTCTGCAGCGTCGCCGGTCGATGTTTGACACAAAGGGCCGTGACACCCGTGTCACCGTGTCACAATGTGAGTGTCACCCGTGTCTCTGAGTGTCACAAAGGTGGTGACAGCTCCCGGCGACCGCGTCCTGAGACGGTCCGGAACGGTGGCTCACCGTGGGCAGAGGCAGGCTGAGCGGTCGGACAGGCAGGCAATAATAATTATTTTGTTTTTTGAAAACCCATGTCTCACAATAAAAAGTTAGAATTTGTAGTTTTTTAGCATAGTTATTACAAGGATAAACTAATCTCTCATCAAATTTCAACGTAAGAAGCGTGAAACAAGTGTACAATATATGCATATATGTCGATTATTTGTGTGCAAAAGTTTGCTTTTAAAACGTGATAAAGTAGTGATTTATTTGTAAGATTATACTCATCATATAAATGTGGTTTTACATATTTTGAAAACATCTAAAACAAAACATTGCTTTCAAAATGTGCACCTTAACTTGCTATTGAAATTTGAATCTCATCAACAAAATAATATCGCCTCATATGAATGCGTGTTACTTCAACGCAATGAGGTTTGCAGCCTTTACATTATCTTTCTAAAATTTAGAATTATCCTTTTAAAATTTGCGCCGGTGAGGTGCACCGCGGCAGGTCGCCAAACACACGAACGGTAATGCGTCAGCCTGGTGCATCCCAGCCCACAGGCGGTCATGAACAAAGATGAACTGAGCAAAGAGATTTCGGGAGATTGAAAAGGTGCATGCTATGTCAATGTAAATACATGTGATGTCAGTATGTAACCAAATGAGAATTAAAAAAATATCCAGCACAGTTCAGTCAATGAAAAAGGTGAATTGAGCTGGGTCACTTTCAAAATATCCCAGCAAATATTAGTTTCCATGGAAGCATAAGCAGTAGCGGCCAAACACCTTCAATTAGGGGGCACTGCCGACTTTTGGTCCCATTCTTTCCATGCAACGCCCATTGGGCTAATGTTAGAATGCCAAAATCAAAGGGCAGGGGGCACGGTGCCCCGGTGCCCTCCCCGTTCCACCGCCTGTGAGCATAAGTGATAATTGACTCATCACCCAGTTGCCTAATAAATCATCTAACTTGTCTTTGAACATTACAGACAGCCTAGAACCTACAAGATTTAAAGGCACTAAATTCATTTTTATTGATTACAATCATGCTCAAAGAAACGTTGTACCATATAAAACTATGGGCACTAAATAAGTTTACTTAACCCGCGCACCGACGGGGGTCTGCGCCAACTTAGTACCGACGGGGGGGGGCGGATAACCGCCCCCCCCTGAGATCTCGAGAACGAAGCAAGATAGCGACAAGCGGTAAACGGCATCGGATACGCACGGTCAAGATCTACAATTTTTACTAAGGTCATTTTCAGGTCAGGTCAAAGATGACGTCACAGGGGTCGAAAAAGTCAAAATGGCGGCGCTAAATATGGAGAGAGTTTTTCTCGAATAACTTTCGAATTAGTCAAGATAGGAACAAACTAAGGGCATCATCGTGATCCTCTCGTCAATCCGCATCGAATGATATATATGTTGACCTCGAAAGGTCAAGGTCAAAGGTTGACCTCAGGTCACGTGACCTCGAGGTCATCATGTATATCATTCGATGCGTCTTGACGAGCTGAACACAATGAGACCATCCACGCGTCTGTATCTTGTTCCTGTACGGAGTTATTGGCCAAAAACCTTTGGTGACCTTTGATGACGTCACATGACCTCACAGCTGCCCAACAGCAAAACAGACCTCAAGGTAGTGAAGGTTGATCGTATATGAAGTCATGTATGGTATATGGGGCCATTCCGACCCGTTTTAGTGGTAAAAACAGGGAGTTGATTTTTCCCCCATTGACTTATAATGGGGAGGTCGCGAAATTGACCTGACCTTAGGTCACCGATATCAAAATTCCGAGATATACAAATTGTAGCTACTAATGACCTAATAACATCCTGCGACTTTCAAAGGCCTCCGACTTCTACTGTAGCTCTGGCACGGTGACAAAGTTGCAAAAAAGTGACTTGAGGTTGGGTCATTCAAAGTGACCTGGTGACCTGACCTTGAAAGGTAGGAGGTTCAAACTTGCACACCATGTGTAAAATTGATAAGGGAATAGTCATACCAAATTTCGCGGCGCTACGCGCCGCGGTTTTCCCGCTATTCGCGAAAAACCTCAGGGGGGGGCGGATATCCGCCCCCCCCCGTCGGTGCGCGGGTTAATATTGCGCTCGAAACTGGCTTGATGTATTTGAAAAAAAAAATTGTCCATGAATGGAATTCAACCTCCTATAACTGTTTGAAGTCATGCTCGCCGCTTCTCAGAATGCACAGCCTCTCATTAATGTGAGGCCACTTACGTAACTCCTTTGAGTTGGTTGAAGCCACCAGTTTCAGCCAAATCTAAAATGGAAAAGTTGCCTATCCCCATGGGTTTTGCTGAAAATGGTTGCGCACCATGCTATTCTTGGGGTTCTGTTGAAAGTGTATCTGATAATGCAATAGAAGAGAATGAGATATAGAAATTATTTGATACCCCATTCAATGATAAATCGTTTTTTTGGAAGATAAGCCAAACACCCCAGTCCTTAGGGTAAGACATATCATAACCCATTCACAGTATCGAATTAATGATCGGTAAGCAATCCAGCGCAATAAAAATCAGTGAGTTTCCAACCAATGAAGACGTCAGAATTAGTTCACTCATCACTGGTGCCATCGGACATCATTTCATTTCACAAATTTCAGCCCCATGGTGTTCGAATCAGCGCAGATGCTAACCTGCTGGTTTGGAATGAATGAACAAACGGCACTATCTGCAGAAAAGATCTCAGTCGTGCTATTATATGGCATGGTAGTTTGCTACATT